TATAACAGAACAAGGCTCTGTATCTTCTACAATAGTGACACTTTATTACTGTATTGCGGCATTTATGTGCAAAATCTCACCAGCCATGATAGTAACTCTCTGTATTAAATTATTGCTCAGATTTTGAAAATTAAATACTGACAGACAGAAAAACATCAAAATTAAAAGGTTTTTTTATATATATATGTAGCTACAAATTACTTCATTTTGTTTTTCTCTTTCTTCTCCTCTTCCTCTGTTTTATACTACTTTTCTTCTAAGAGGGAGGGTCTATATATGTTTTTCTCGGCTAGCTGTCAATCATATTAATTCCAGCAAAATTACTTTCCTTAAATTAATCATAGCAGAGGTTCCCAAGGCAAAATAAAGCATGAATGATCCCATGTTTACAAATGAAAGGGCATGTCACCAGTGTCTAAAAGAACAAATACTATAAAAGAGCACTTTTTGTTCTGAAAAATCCCCTTATTTTACTTTATACTCTCATGGTAACCAAACATCACTGACACTTTTCCTCATTATGTTTCAGACATTCAATATTTACTGTGTATAAATAAAAACTATAGTTTTAATGGGGACTGAGACTTTGATTTCAAGTTTGACAATATTTCCTAGCATAGAAATTAGAAAAACAGCAATTTGCCAATGTTTAAAGCACATTTTTATCTCTTAGACCAGTACATGGCTGTGAATAGTTAAAAACAGGCATGGATGTTAACTATAAGTAATTTGATTTTTGTGATTTACAAAACAGCATTTTGACTGATAATATCTTATGCCTCTAGTTTTGCCTTTTTGCTCAGAATGACATCTCTGTGAAGATATCCTTATAGACTAGAAATACCTTTTGATCTTGTACACTTAACAACGGCATTATAAAAAAACTACGTATAAATTCTTGGCAAGTCCTAAAAACAATGCACATACAGAAGACATCCTGTCTGATGATCCACTGTCTTGGCAGACATCTTGCCATTCATCAAGAGATGCTCTTGACCCGTTTGCCATTCCTGGCAAGGTGAAAAGAATTCCATTTACAATACTTCTGAGCCATTGCTTCAGACAAACATATATAGGATGTTATTTGATCACTCTTTTTTTTCATCCCAAATGCTTTACAGCTCTCATATCCATAGAGTTCGTTCTCATTGCCATTTTTTTGTAACCTGCCTACATAAAGCAGTGAGGTGAACCTGTTGAGGCAAGATGATCTAAGGCACCTTTTCATCTGCCCCGGATACAATGTTTCTTGCTCTTCCTCCAACTTCTGCCAGTAACCAGGAAGGAAGCCAGTAGGCTTACATCTGATCTGGATAAACTAGAAGTGATACCTATAAATGAGGAAATATTTCTAGGATTAGATTAAATATATAACCTAGTCTTTAAACGAGGACCCTCAGAACCCTAATTAAGACTCCCTCAGTTCTCCCAGGGGGACAGACTACACCCATTGTCATAAACATGGTTCTTGAAGGGAACAGGCTGAACACTCCCAGGTGGATATGTTCTTCATCTCAAACAATTACTGAAACAAACTAGTTTCTGAGACTTTTGAGAAAGATTTTTCTGATTTTTTTTTTTTTAAGATTCTGAGATTTTTGCTGAGGCTTGGTGTCATTGCCACATCTCTCAGTCATCTTGCTCAACAGCTGTAGTTTTTCTTTTAATATTACCTTACTCAGGTTTGAGTGGTACAGATAGAGACAGTGGTTGGACACAGCAGAAAGAAACATTGGCTCTTTATCTAACAAACATTTCTTTAAGTGACTTGACAGGTATGGCAGGAAAGGAGAAACATATTTGCTAATAGACTCAAGATCTATAGCCCTCTCATCAGTAGCACATACTTTTCCCCAGCTCTTTAAAGCAAAATTTGTTCTGTGCTTTTAAAAATGGCATTGTCTTTTTTAATGAAACACTAGAAATGACCCAGACTGAAGCAGATCTCAAAACATGATATTACGCATCGTATTGTATTCGATGCTTTGTATTGTTTGTCTGTTTTAAAGATTTCTCTACCTCCACATATAGAGACAATTCTCATTATGCTGTGGGTTCATGTTTTGTACAGGAACTCTCTTTCTGTCCTTCTTGCACTACCAGCACCCTTATACTGCGTTCAATAATAGATAAACAAATGTTTTAGTTTATGCTCTGATTTTTTTTTTTTTTCTTAATCTGGGAAGATTTCTATTTCAGAATATCTTGTTCTATAAATCAGATGATGTGTATTTTGATATCTGCAAATGAGACTCGTCTCATTTTGTGCAAGTAAGTGTTGCTACTGCTACTCTCTGGTAATATTTAAATTTCACTGGGAATAAGATTACGCAGTCAGAATACACAAGCTTTCAGAGAATACCTGTTTAGAAATACTCTAGATGTTCTATTTGAAACAGAAATCTCTTATGTCTGACCTGGTGATACAGACAGAGGGTATAACTGAATACCAGCTGTCTTTGCTTGTCTGTAATACAGCAGGTGCGTTGGCATTAGCCCCATCTTCAGGCCACATAAGAGAGAAACTCCTTGCTAACTAGCTGATAAAACGTCACACCTTCTACTTACTAGTAGGCAGGGAAAACAGTATCAAGATTTTCTCAAGCATATATACCTAATCAGCTTGTTTTCAATCAGAAAAGAAAAACACTATTTCACAAGAGTTCATAGACACGCTTCAATCCCTGTAAATGTACAGTCCTCTTGCAGAATGAGTCAGGAGTTCTTAAAACATCATCTTAAGACATTTTATTACTAATATTTGGATATTTTGATGTCTAGATCCAACTTTGTCAACGTGCAGTCAAGTACCTTGGAATGCCACTTTGGGCAACTATGAATGCTCTCATCTCTTTTATCTACAAAACTAAAAATCAGCACACTTATCTGAATGGAAGCAGAACAGTAGTAAACTTTGAAGAGTTAAGAGTCTTGGGAAGAAGTTCACCTAGATGATTTTTATATAATAATAAAATCAGTAGAAAAGGAAATCATTATATAAATGAGTGAATATAAATATTAATAATTTTTAAAACTAATTATAAGCACCTGTGAAAAATTTTAATAGCTTTCTTCTAATCCCGTTCTAGAGGCCAATTATAGAAAAACAGTCTCTCCCCAGTTAATTTCTTTGAAATAATATCAAGATTAATAAAGTAATAAACCTCAAAATACCTTGCAACCATGCCGAAGTAGCATCCATGTTTATAATTTAGTTCTAACTAGACAAAATCATAAGTAGCTTTTTATGAAGGAGAACAACATTTCTGAAGGTGTATTATCTCACTTAACAGTGTCATTAAAACTCTTGCTTTATATTTATTGGATAGTATTATAAAGTAATGAACTTGCTGGATTCTGGCAACACTTTTATCCTCTATAATTCATACCTCTAGAGCTCAGTCTTTACAGCTTTTCATAGAATCATCTCCCCTTCCCTTAGATCTAATGGCAATCATCACTTTCATTTTGTCTGAAACCAGTCACAAGCTATTTCATAGTAAACATAAATCAATATTAATGACAAAAATCACATAGCTTCACCATAAAAGTTAAACCCAGGTAACTAGTTTCCTCAAAAATGCAGAGATCAAACGTTTCTCTTAGAGTTACAAAGCCAATAAATCTAATTTTATTGCTTCATAAATTCTCACTGAAGTAGGATGGAAGTACAGTTAAGCTACCTCAACAACAAAACAAGAGAACTGAGTCAGAAACCTTATTCCAGTTTCTCATGAAGGCTTCATCCCATCTGATAAGTAGTAACTGTGTAAGCTTCCAACCAGGGAATGAAGTGTGGCCTGAAATGTGTCAAACTTGTTTAGTCACATTAGTTAATGTTTTTAGAGGATCTTTAAGCAGAGGTTTATTAAAACTGTACCAAACTGGAGGTATAAGACTCCTAATTGATAGAATTGCTCAGATGTATATGAAGTAAATCAACCACAAATCACAGACTCATGAAATGACTTGCATTTTCCACCTTGCATCTTGAACTGTGCTATGCCTTGATTTGCTACCACAAGTTATACAACATGATTACGCTGGACCAAAAAAAAGCTGGGGGTAGGGGAGGTATTTTCTTATCTTAAGCTGGCTAACTCATTTGAGGTTGAAATATCAATGAAGGACGGTCAACTTCATTTTCACTTAAAATAAGCTATTTAGCTTCAAGTTTGGAAAGGGACCTGAGGCTGATCTTAGCCTACTAAAATGTAATATGTCTTGTCAGCACTGTTGGTTAGCTTCCTTTAGTCAGCCTTTACCCAGCCTAAAGCTTTCTTTAGCCAGCCTAAATTAAGAATTCGCTTTTTTCAAGCACAGGTATAATATAAAACTATTGCAAATTTCTCATTCTTGATGACCTCAAACAGCTGTCCTGTTTTATCTAGGACTTATAACATCACATAGTCTTCAAGTCTACACAGGTAGAAATAGTTTCACTGAGAAGTATTTCCACAAGGCAGAAGTCACCTCAGGCACATACGATTGCACTAAGAGAAGACTACAAGGTAAACAATATACAAACAGCTTTGACTTTCATTATTTGAAGATCCTATAATACCTAGAAAATACAGGTTTACGCTACTGAACAACACCTTATTCTGAAGGACTAAGAGATATCAAGAATACAAAATTACACACTAAAAATTATTTCAAATAATTTTCATAGATTTTTAATATAGTGATTCTAGATTTCTTCCTCAATGACCACTACAAATGAGCTCACTATTATTAGGAACACCTGAGCTGGACTGTTGCCTGTTACAGACATGCACCGAGCTAAGCCTATGTTCCAGGAATGAATGGGGAAGAATTGAATGTGACCACATGCCACTATCCCTCCTTGCTATAAACACAGTATTTTAAATTAGGACATGGATTGGAAAGTTGCTTTAGCTTGGTTGTCCAGGTCCCTGCACTTGTAAGGGGCTGTATAATCAGAAACAGATGAGTGAAACCATGCCGTGTTACTGGCAAACTCTCCCTCTGCCTCCAGCAGGAAGCCACGCACTCTGGTGGTATATAAAACAACAGAAAGCTTTTATGTGCAGAAAGCTCTGAGTTACTCAGGCATGTTAGTGTTTTCTGTTAGCTACGCCTATAGAAGAGAAATGTGATTTATTACTAATTGGTCTACAAATAGGATAGGAATAAAAATTGTGAAGAATAAAAATTGAGAAGTCTTCAAACTCTAAAAGAGGACACCTGATAAATATTTATCCCATGAAGCCAATGCAGATATGATATAAGGAAAAAATACTTATTCTTTTTTTTGGCAGTTCTAGATTTGTCATTTGTGGATTTCCATTTATCAATAATACCAAGATATTTTGTACTTAATGTTCAAAAGAAAGCTCATCTGAGCACGTGAGATGTTGAATCTTGGTTAAGTCACACACATATGATTATCTAATTAGGTCTACTACCTTGGTTTGCTACTTTGATTCTACTGAGCATTGTTTTTTGTTGGTTTGTTTGTTTGTTTCTTGACTGCTCCACTGACGCACATTAATTAGCATTCGTTTTTTCTAAGAAACCACACGGGATAGCAATAGCATTGAATTTAGCAGATGATGATAACCTAGAGACATCCAGAATATTCTTAGAATATTTAATTCAGTGAAGTTTAAACACTCATTTGAAGGTCTTTGAACAAAATTCTGGTTTTAATAGCCTATGCTAAGGTCATAGTTTTGGGGAGAAAGAACAAGTGTATTCTGCACTAAAAAACCACCAAGCAGCTTTTTGCTCCTTAAAAGACTTAGCTCATTCTATAATGTCAGCTCTTAAAAGGCCACTAATTCTAACCACCAATTTAGATTACTGCGTAAAGTACCATGTCCACAAGCAAATAAATGGACAAATACGTTACTGAGGAAACAACTTGAAGGAACAGCCAGTGATTTAAAGACCCAAGCATCGCTGTCACTGTTGGGGATTAAAATAGTTTACTTGTAGAATATTAGAATTAATTATGCGATTGTTTAAAACTAGATTGAATTGAAACTCATTTTGCTTTGCTTAGCATGAGTGACTGGAGTGCTGAGGCCTTAGGCTGCAAACCATGACCAAGCAAAAATTCAGTTCAGTTAAATGGAGAAGTACTGGGAGCCCTACACAACGAAATAAACTGAACCAAACCTATAATTCAAGGAAAAGACCTTCAAGAAAGAGAGAAACAATTCCATCTGAAGCCGACAGAAAACAGACAAGATCCAGGTGCAGAAAAGACAAGAGGATGGTAAATCTACAGGAATAGATTTAATTCAAAAGATGTTACTCCAATCATCGAGAGGAAGAGCAGCTATTAAACAAGCTAACTGGACAGAAAGTCTGTGCATGTTGCATGGACAGGCTCGTGAACACCTTGTGTAACAGATTGTGAGGCCTTAAAAGACACAGAGAAACAATGAAGGGGTGTCCCTTTCAGGAGACACTAAGCTCAAGCTGAAATAAACTGACTGTGGCAGAACCTAGGGTCCGAACACTTCTTTATAGTCAGGGGCTAAGACTGGATCCAGCTGCACCTAGACCCCTCTCTGAGAGGAAGTATAAAAGGAAGGGGGTCCAGTCTGAACCTCATGAGTTGGCAAAGGGTCTTCCTGGACTCTTCTATAACAGTCATGCTATCATAAAATGCTTTAAATGAAGGAATTATGTTTCTGTTATGGATCTGGATTTGAACAGATAACGACACAGCTAATAGTTTGTAATGGCACTCCTACCTGCCAGTCTCATCTTGATTTTGAAGGTAGCAGTTGATTGTGTTGACTAAAAAGCTAAATAAACGACCATATAGAGATTTTGCCAAGAGATCCCGGTAAAATTCTGCAATTTCTATAGTGTGCCTCCGTACAATCATGTCTCCTAAGAGAGAAAGCAGAAAATGGAGATGAAAGCATGTAGTAAAGCTTGCCTTAAGTAATTCCAGTCACAGTAAATTTAGTTACAGTTACTTCTTCTTTGCCAAACCCATACTTTGTGTTAGTTGTTTTCTGAAGCCTCCAGTGAGAGATGAGAAGACATCAACACTCACAAGATCTTCAGTTTGGAAACATGTACCTTTGTACTTTTTTCAGTACAAAAGGGTATGACTACCACACAGAGCTAGCATTTTACTGAAAATAAATTTATGAAAGTTTTTTTTTTTTTTTTTCCAGAACACTCCTGCTGACTTTAGTTCTTAGTATTAATACCTAATCTGTCATGTTGACATACTTGTATAAGATTAATCAAGTTAGGAGTCCATCAGTGTCGGACTGTGAAACTGCTTTATTCCGTAGTATAAAGACATTTCTAATTCAGTGGCTCAGTCTGACTTATTGCACGGCAGATAATCCTACACATTCCTCAGAAACAAAATTTACAAGACAATACAGGAAATAAGAAACAAAAATTATCTGCTTTTGAAATTCTCAAATCAGAAGGATCAAAATGCCACCAGGTCTGATCTACGAGAACGTGAGCTTGGAAAAGATTACCTTTAAAATACTGAACATCAGTTGTCAAGGCTGAAGCAAGCTCATCTGGGCAAACCTGCAGCATCCCTGCCACTGAAATGAAAAAAGAAATTAAAGAAAGCCTGATTTGTGCTCTACTGCATATTTTATTTTTTATAACAGATTTCCTATGTAGATGCTATTTTTGAATATTGAAGGAACCCACACATTAAAGAAGAGAGTGCTGTCGTAGAAGTAATCAAAATTAACGAACACATAAAATTGGATTACTACAATCAGCACTTTGTGAAGTTTGAATGTATCTGTATATTACATTACAGCTTTCTTTTCCCTTTAAAGATTACTCAGGACTTTCCCCAGGGCTTGGCAGACTTTCTATCATATTGGAGTTAAGGTATGCTACTTACTGACATTCTGTATCCAGAAGCCACTATGGGGAGATTTATTAGTGACCAAGAGGGCAAACTTCAAAGCACAGAAACAAGAGACTCTTTTAAGACACAGATTTTGAATGTAAGGAATTCAATTCAATGCAAACTGTTCAGCTGTTGACAAGCAGTGCAAGAGCATTTTAAAAAAAAGACTGCTTAAAGTGCACTGTACAATTTCTTTCAGCAAATGATAGCATTATATACGAAATTGAATCAGATAATTTGCAATACTAGCATTTTATTTCATCCCATAAAAATCTGTAGTTTATAAAACATCTGAGTAAATTGGATACTGTCTTCCCACAGTAACTTAAGAATTTTCGTAAGTAATTTTTTTGTCTCCCTGGAATTGTGTTTCCATCTGTCGGCAGATCAGTGCAACTGCTGTGGGACCAAGCAGGCAACGCTCCGAGGTCAAGTCCTACTGACCTTGTTCCAGTAGTTGCAGGTCTGACACAAATGCTGTCTCAGCGTCTGTCAGAGCCGTAAAGCAAATATCTCCAAGATGCAGAATTGCTGAGAGTATTACAAACAGGTTCTCCACCTCCTGCACATATTTTATGCAGAATTAAACATAAAGAAGAAACTGTTGGGCACACCAGTGCTTTATAAAAATACAAATTCTATTCATTTGTATCATTGGCATTTGCTAAGTTAAAAAGTATTCATGTATAAACAGGAAATTTGGATTTAGAAATTAAACTGGAATACAGTACATAAAACAAGATTACATTATTTTTTCTTTTGTTTTAATGTAAAACAGCTAAAACACTGAGTTAAGAAAGTTTTTCAGAATGTGATACACAATACTGAAATATCTTTAATGGATGCATTATTTCTGAAAGAAATAAACACGTCTTCTCCATAATTTCCATCAAGACAATTTCTGTGTCTGGGAATAGCTAGGCATGTTTTTTCCTCAGCATTCACAAACAAAGTGTCTAGCTCTAAATTATAACACGTTCCTGGTAGTAAAAGCTGTAGTTAAGGTCTAAAAGACACAAACACAACCCTCCCTTACCCACACACACTTTGCCCCCCACGACTGCATTCTATGTCTGATGGCTCTAAGGCTGTGAAGCAGTTACTTTGAGATTTAGATTTTTCCTGCCCTCATTTTTATCACAGCAAGAAGAGAACTAATTTTCATGTTTGGGTTTTTTTAATGTTTTTAGATTGAAGCAAAAAAATGATCCATGAAATGTGAACTAAAAACGCTAAGACATGGAAAACATTGTGTGGTTTTGGATGGTTTTTTAAGGTCAGTTATATAACAATGGTGCTCCTCTGAAATTATACAACAGGAAGCCTGATACCCACTATAGTATTACACGGTATTATGCACTGCAAAGTTAATTGATAATTCTTTAAATATCTTTGAAAAATAATATTTAGAATGTGATTCTATTGAAACAGTAGAAGTGACAGTGAGAAGTCTCGCTTACTGGAATTTGCAGAATAAGATTAAAAAGTACACTACAAATGAAATACTTAGCCAATACACCTCCTTTATTCTCAGGTGACTGCAATGAATTCAGAGCACACTGAAATGAAGCTTGGATGACTTTTCATCAGTTTTCAAAAGCAATAGGTCAAAAAAACCTTTTCTTCTTCTTGTTCCTTTCATAAATATGCCCGTCTTTAGAGGACATTAAAAAAAGCTTCAGTCTTTCTGGGATAGAGACTACAGCACCTCTGATGCTGTTTAAGCGAGTTTGATTCTCTAAATTACGTTTTAAGACAAGAACTTCAATCCCATACTGTATGCGATAGATGTAAATAGGGCAACAGTATATTTTTTATTACACAATACCAAAGCTGAAGATTAAAAAATGTATACAGGCGAAGTCTGAATAAGATAACTCTTACAACAGAAGAACTGTCATGCTAATATGGCATTCAAACTAGGGTGCTACACCCTGCTTCTTGGGGAGGCCTCTTATGCAAGATGCAATGGCACACCAGTACAGCATACCTCTTGTTTGTTTGTTGGCTTGTTCAGAACTGGGTTGGGGATGACTGTACAGCACTGAATTGCAGCAGCTGGGATAGCTGTTTATCCTGGTGATTTTGGTAAGGCCTCGGGTTTAGTTCATGTTCCAGATTCTCAAACACTTTCTCATTGTGCTCTAAGATGCATGTTCCCTCAACTTTAAAACAATTTTTTAATAAACATTAACATACTTTGCAAGATACCATTAAAGACTGCTAAGGATTTTTTATGTAGTTCTGCAAAAAGATAATCTATTCTATCATCAAATGTGGCTAGATGGTCAAGGAATAATACATACAGACCTTCCATGTACCTCAGAAGTAATGGGTAGAAATTTTAGGTGATGTGTTTTATCTACATATTCTCCTCTAAAGTCCAGCACAGGAGATCAGTCTGCAGTACTCTGGACCTCCACAGACTTCTAGCCTCCTAAATGATTCTTTTAATGCTGTCTGGATACAGAGAAGCCTTGAAGATGTTTAATGTTTTTGTGAGAGGCAACTTACTTCCTTTCAAGAACTCTGAGAAATGTGACGTTGAAGTGCTGGATCCAAAAGAATACTGTGTGTAAAGCGTTCTCAGAGAGTTACTGCAGGCTTCATTACTCATTAAATTATTTATTTATGGGCTGAACACCTTCCTCAACAGAACAGAAAGGTTAATGAAAGAGCTAGAACAATCCACCCATCTGTGAACAGTGGGCTAAATGCAGAAGTGCCTGGAACATTTGCTACTGAAGTTTACAGGTACAGAGCTTGAGCCACTAAGGGTAAGGAACAATTCTGTCAAACACAGCCATATGTGTTCAATTTCATACATGACCACATGAATATTAATGAAAAAAACCAAACCACTCTTCCTTATATTAAAAGGTGTCACAGGTTACCAGAGAACATCTGTTACCACCTTAACTAGGGAATACTAAACTACATGATGTAAAATCACCACAGACATCTACCTGACACCTAAATAACAGCTTCAGCAGACTCACATATTTTTTGCCTTTTAGCCTTTGATCCCTTTTTATTACAACTGTTACTCATCTGTCCACTCTTATGATAATCTAGCATACTGCTACATTATCTTTTCCTGCACTTTTTTCTTATGATGCTAAGTGTCACATAGGGGTAAATAAGTTTTTACCTCCTTCTAGAACTACTGTTGCTTATACATTTGTTTTGAAGAAGTGTCCCAGCAACAGTATGTGTTAGGTAGCATATACATATGTAAGAAATATGGGGAGTTTGTTAAATATTCTAGTATCCTGAAGGGAATTACACAGCTTACGTGAGTTCTTATACTCAGCCCTCCATTTCTTCTGATTCCTGTCATACCTCTGTCCTCCAGAACGTCTTCTTAATTAATTTCCCAAGTTATCTTTTTCATTGCCTTTATAGGATTAAAGACAAACATCAGACCTATCTTCTTGTTGCGTTTTTGGGGTTAAGTCAGCTCTTTCAAGTTACCTAGCTCTAATTTAGTTTGACTAAATATGTATTTACTTCTTTTCAGGTGCTGCTAGCAAAGGCATTTGGAATGTGTGTTTCACAAAATTAAAAGGGACAGGGAGATAATCAGGAAGAGGAAAAAAATTCCTGTGGGTTTTATGAGGTTTCTGTCATATGGGATTTGATTGTTTCTTTTTATCTATGTAATTTAATTGTTCAGAGTATTATACCTTGAAGCTGTTTTGTGAATCTTTCAGAATGAAAAAGATTTACATTGTTGGTGCTGTGTCTAATTAAAAGTGATTACAGTAATTTCCCTGGAGTGAACTAGTACTGTATATTGTTTCAAGGTCTTAACCAACAGAAAAAAAAGAAAGACAGAAAGGCACTTATTTTCCTCACAAAAGGTTATCAGTGAGCATTCCTTATGGCCTGCTTTTAACTAAGGAATATGGTGATTTTAGCCACAAATAATATAAGCTGGTGTAACTTACCAGGCTATTGAATCCCATGGCACCTAGAGCTTGTTTTAGTACAGCTAATTTCTCCCTGTTTTGAGGGTTGGCTGTTAACATTGTCTCTTCCAGGACAGTCTGGCTTAGATACCTGCACAGAGGAAAAACAACATATGTAGTATTTATAAGGCTGATGCACAATCAAACTTTTGAGGTTAAAAGCCAGCTTTTCCCTTCTAACCAGAGGTTTCTTACAGATTTTTCTCAGCCTTTGGAGGGAACGGTGTCAGTGATGTATTTCTTTCCTTAAGCTTTTGCTTAAGGCTTCCCCCCACCAACTTTAGCCCTACCTGTAAGCTAAAACTTCATATTTAATTTATATTGCTGACAGTTTTGCTATTCTTGTACACCCAGAGGTTCCCCTCCAGAAGAAAGATTTGAGGAGATCCTCCGATAACTCCGACTGCTTTAAATTCCCCTCCTGCTGGCTAGGGAACAGATCAGCTCGTATCTGCCTGATCCCATGATGATCATTCACCCTCTTAGCAGCTGAATAGGTGACAGGTATACTCAGCATCTCTTAGAACAAAGTAGTAACTAAGTACATAGAGTAGTAAGTGTACAGCCCTTAAGCTGCACTGCTTTGCACACTGTGAAGCAAAAGTAAATTTTTCAAACCTTCCCAAAAATAATGATTAGAAGAGAGAGACACCTAGTGCAGCAGCTAACTCAGGAATGAAAAAAAAAAAAAGAACCTACATAAAATGTAGCAACACAAAACAGAAAAATCAAAAACTATAGTACAACAGACTATCCAAAAGAGCAGCAATCCAACCTCTATAATGCATTTCGAAATAAATCTATGGGCCAGATTTAATTTTAAAAGTATTCAGGTATCTTCATACAGGTGAAAGCACTAAGAATGAGGTGTCTGAATATCTTATGGGATCTAATTTTTAATTACATCATGCTGAGAATGTAAAAACATGTTTTCTTTTATCATTATCATTAAATTATCTTAATCATTAAAATACACATTCATCACACAATCTGCAATCTTCACAAACATCACTTACATTGACAAAAGAATTCCCACCTAAATCAAAATAACATCATCACACACCAACAAAGGTGGACAATTTACACATACTCCACCCTTCATCCCTTCATCACAATTACAACAAAAATTCCCCACAATTATTCTGCTCTCTGATAATGTTCAATCCATGACCTGTCACATAAAGATGGGAAACAATACTGGTTTAATTTCTGAAAATTCTTGTTCACAATACTATTCTAATTGCACTATAGAAGAGACACGGTTTCAAAATAAAACTCCTATTACCACAGAAAGTCTGGCAATGCTTTAGTAAGGGTGGTAGCTCTTGTAAAGGTGGCCTTTTATGTGAATGTGTGTAGTTTTAGAAATATATGGAAGAATTATTTAGAATTTGTTATTTTCTAACTGATAATGAGGTTTATGAGGTATATACGATGAAACGCAGAGTGCATTTTTAGTGGACTGGTACCAGACTTACCAGTGTGGATCTCCCTTGGAGTGATAATGGTGTAAGTTACTCCAGCAGGTGGGCAGAGGAAGAATGATGGGGGAAAAAACATGTGCCTGGGTGCATAAGCACTTTTTGCACTCACAGGAGACCTCAGCAGATATCTCAAGCACAAACAAGCCTCACATCAGTGTCTAAAGCCAATGAAGTAACACAACCTTTGAGAACGAGGGTCTGTGAGCATCACCGCCAGAGCTCTGTACCATTTCCCTGAGGTTACTAAAACCATAAATTTTGTCCAAATCAGGTAGATACAAACGATATCACAGCTGTCAAATTAGGTAGAGCAGATGATACAAAGTATATGCCAGCTTTATGGGGTTTTTTCTTGGTTTTTTTACATTGCCTGTAGGTTTCAAAAGGAGGCTAGAATACATCTAATACTGAATCTGGCACAGAACCTACTAGTATAAAAGTTAATCCAGCACAGAATTTTCCACTGTTCCGTACTGCTGCGTGAGCTTATACCAGTTCAGTGTTATGTACGTGTCGGTGGCATTTTTGATCCATAATTAGGAGATTTACAGTAGCAGCTACTCTGCTGTCAAAATATTCTAGTGTTGAATGGTTGGAGGAGTTGGAAGCTGATGACTATTGCTGCAAAAAAGCCTCCTCACTGGTGTTCTCCTAAATAACTGTGTACTGAGCAGGGAATACTCTTTCCTATGCCGTGAAGAGAATATTGTATACTTCTTTTATTTAAGCAACCCCATTTAACCATCTCTTTTTAGCCTCATTATAGTGCTAGTGGGTATTGTTGTAGCAAAAAGGTGTGTGATTGCTACCAACACATGGCAAAGCAGGCTGTGGCATAGCAAAGTGGCCCGGAATGCTCAGTCCCTTGGAGGAAGGAGCTGAGCTGTGATATGAACCAACACGTGTCAGTTCTTGCCTTCAGCGCAAGCACTTCTTGCTGATACAGCAGGGGGCAAACTGGGTACCCGCCAAACCAGGCGCCTGTGGCTCCAACAACCCATCCATAAACTGCAGCATCTGCTGGGACATGCCTGTTGGAAGAGAATCTGACTTTCCCGGTATAAATCTCCTGAAGATTTAATCAGCAGATGTGCTGGTGCCCTTGGAAAGGGCTGCAGTTGGACATTTTCTGAGGCGCACTCCAATTTAGAATCAGTTTCCCCAGTCTAAATGCAATTAAATTCTTTTATAACATGTCATGAGGCCCACTCATTTTCCAAAGTATTTAAGGACTAATGAAATACAAAAATTGCTTTGAAGATATGCATATTCAACTGTTACATGTTTATAATATAAAGTATATGGATATTAAGGATGGATTAATTGTATAGCATACTTAGAACTGTTGAAGGATATCATGCAACACCCCCAAAATGCAGAAAATATATAGTGTAGCAGAGTGGGAGTATAATATATACTAGCTGTACAAGGAATCACATTTTTCTGATTATTGTTAAGTTCATTCTATCTCAGAAACATAGTTACATTTAGATAGAAATATACATTTCTTTTTCACTTGTAAAACAGTTCCCTGACATCTCCTTCTTTTCACCTTAAAGGCCCTGAGGATGAAAAGAGTTTGAGACACTCTTTGTATTAATATTACTACTATCACCTATTTATGCTTAAGAGCCAGAGTCCAGAACAAATTTTAAATTGTCGCTCTCCTACAAAAATAGGGAAAGGGGAAAGAGATGTGTCACAGCGCAGAAGTCCTAACAATAATGAAACATTATTCCATTGCAGATACATCATTATTCCTTAAAATGTAAACTGTTTTTCAGTACATGAAGCTTTCCTCATATTTACAGTGCATTTCTGTATTTTGACATTCAAGTGGCCTGGATAGAATTTCATTGCTAATGATGAAGAGGGATTAAAATGCTTAAAATTTCCATTGTGAACCTGCCATGGAGCTTTTAGTCATTATTTTTACTTAGACTTTCATTATTGCAAACTACAGTTTTATAGCAATTATATTTATGAAAACCTATGCTGTTACTAGAGTGTGTATAACGCTCCCATAAGTTTCCCATGAGGTAGTCTGTGTTCAAATGCAAACTACACCTGGGGATTCCTGAATTCTTTGTTGCTGAAAATTTTAGTAAAAGAGGTACTACTGCTATACAGGTTCCATAATATCTGATGCATGCAGGCTGTGCACCAGTTGTGGACTTATCATAGTTTTATTAACCTTACTTGCATATCTCTGCATGCAAATTCATTCTGCAAGTGCACGTTCACATTAGCTTACTGTGGCTTTAGAAAAAAGATTCTCAGATTTTGGCTGAAGTTGAGCCTTTTAGTTGAAGGTAGCTGCTCAGACAAATGATATTTATATTCTCTGGTAAAGGTGATGAACTAAACAGCGCATGCAGTTCCAATAAATAACCTCTTTCTACTGACTCTCTAACCATTTGTTTAAATGTTATCATGTTGACATTGCATCGGACTAGTACTCTCAACAGACAGCTTATCAGCACACAAAAAACTTTTAAGGACATGAGATCAGTGACTGTTTATTTCAAAAAAGAAGAAACTTACTGATCCACAGAATTGGGTTTTTTTTAAGAAGATAAGCTGATCAATAATTGTAGTATAATCACTTTCAGTAAAACACAATGCTGCATTACACTATTTCTTGAGAAACGTAGAAGAGACTATCTACATAGGGTTTTTTTTCTGATTTTTCTTCTAACAGTTCTAATCTGCAGCATTGTAGCAATTTCTTCTATTCCTGTCTCAAAGGAAAAAAATGACTAGGAGAAAAAAATCAACGGTGGTAATTTTCTGTATATTGCTTACCATAATTACAATTTTTTGATGATCATTTGAATGACATCATAGATCAAATTTTGAGGTAGGGGTGTGACTGGTGTGCCCAAGAATACAAAGAAGTACTTACCAGGACATTAAAATCTTTATGTATTAACTATCTATATAAGTCAACAATTACCTTACTTGTTTGCCTTTTCATTATCGTTATAATTGTTACACATCATCGTAATTTGTATTCAACTTATACCTGCAGTAAAGTTCATAACTTGGTACATACATCTCAAATATGAAGGAGAAAATACATAGGAACAAATGTCAGATTACCTGAATTTTTGACACATGCATATTTCAAAATTTCTTACATAACCCTACCCGTAAAAAAAGTTTAAAGTAATATCATCTGCTCAGATGACTGAGTAAATAACAAGGACCTGAGACTAAAAAGAAAAGTTTTGATTATCAGTTGCTGCTCTGCCAAAAACTCAGCAAAACAATATTTATTTGGATTGAATTTAAGTCAATTAATTTTCTTTTGAACTGTAACCCAATAGCATTTAGTATCTAATGAAGTACTCTGCCTCATTCAACATAAAAAAAACCCATGCCATTTTATTTCCTTACAAGAAAAGTGAAGGAAATAAAAAGTAGGACTCACAAAATTGCTGCAAAAGGTTAAAGAGTCTTTTTATTCTGTTTTTCCTGTTAGAACTCTTACAGTTTTATAAAATCTGTGAAGAGAGAAAAATAAACAAGTTTGAAATTTGATAATTAGGGGATTTAATTGAGAAGAGGGTATGCCTTTTCTGGTTACTGTCTCATAGTCAGCGCA